TAATAACTTTGCACACAGTTGACGGAACATAGTTCTTTTTGAAGCAGTAGATAGAATAGAGTGTAAGCTTGTTATAGATATGTAAAAGAAAGTAAATTGTAATGCTAGTAGTAAACTGTATTTGTTTTTGCGGTGTAAAAATGAGCTGAGAAATGCTCACTACACATCTCGGAATGTATGTGTTAAATTGATTAGTGTTGATTCAAATGTTAAGCTTTACCCAATCTTCGCATATCTATAGTAAACTATGAGCCTAATCTATAAATTACTTTTAAGAAAAATAAATTTCAACATCTGAGTGAAAAGTTATTACCAAATGAGCAGTTGGTGTGTACAACTGTGCATGCCAAGCATGGTGACTGCGGTCACCCACATAGTTTCGGAATTACAACGACAGTGCCGTGCCGAGCAGCAGTTGCCTACTGCCCGACTAGCGCTACAGCGGCCTCTCCCACGAAGTAATGCCTTCGGGCGGTTCCGGAGAGGTCAAGGGCCAAGCGCACAGGGTAAGGTTTAGTGGGTCGGGAGTGAAATTCTACAATCTCCACACCCTGAGTTCTTTCTCAGGTGTCTGTGAGCAGATTCACCCCTGTATAAAAAAAAATAGATTCGAGATAGCTTTTGGCACTGGCAGGGTTTTTGCCAGGCTTGTGGTTTGGAATGACTTTGGCTAACTTTCAGGATGCATGGAAGTTGCCAAGCACCAAACACTTATTGAAGACCGCTGCAAGGTGTTGTTTTCAACTCGAGGTTGACCACTCCATCGACACCAGCGGCCTTCATGTTCTTGGTTGATTTAATAGCTGCTATCACCTCATCAGGGACAACTACGGCGGTGGCAGCGACTCTAGACATTGCCGCCAATACTGCAGGCTCGTGAGGACCCACCATGACCAAGGTTATGTGAATTCACAAAGTGTTGACCAAGAGCATTGGCCTTTTCAACTGGGGTTATGAGTAAGCATGGATCCGAATTCTGATTAAGAGGGGCCACGGCTTATTTTTTTTAATCTTTGCCATTTTCCAGAACGACTTAGCACAATCTGCGAGAGAGCGAATATTGTTTGCAAAATCGTTATTTCTGCGATCCACCAGGCGTACTGCCGGTACTGCCTACGAATGGTGTTGCGGAGTCTAATGAGGTCCTTAGTGGGCCTGTCAAGATTCAGAGTATTACTCACCTGTCTGGATACTGGCACATGTTGCTCTCTGGCTCGGGAAATTGCTTCATCGAAGGAGCGCAGACACCCGTCGATGTCGTCGGTCGTTTCTGGCTGGACTTCAAAGTCGATACTGGTGTCAAAGCAGCGTTGAAACTGCGCCAAGTTGCTGATGTAGATGGTGGCGTGAGCACCGGACCTACTCAACCAGGTGGGAATGTCCGGACTGCAGATCAATGTACAGGATGGTGCCATTTTGGTTGCGCCGACTGTTGCCCTAAGCTTGATGTTTGGCGTTCACGGTGCCAGCAATGATGAAGTTTTCCCGTCGTCGTGTTAGCTTGACAATATCTCGCCGCAAATCTGCTGCCGACTTGTTCGGAGCAGTAAGCTGCAATGATGGTGATGAGACCGACAGGAATAGAAACTTCCACGCCTACGGCTTCGATGATCTTCAACTGGAAGCTCGGCAGCAGCCGACAGTAGATGTTCCTCCTTAGAGCGATGGCCGGAGCTGGTTCGTTCCAGCCTCGCAAACCGGAAATCGGGAAGGAAGACGTTAATCTCGGGCTTCAGGTGCGTTTCGGTGATGATGGTGATATCGATGTTTCGTTCTTGCTCTTGAGCGAGCAAGCGTTCCAATTGGAAATTTCAATGGCTTCACGGTCCATACTTATTGATGAAGCTGTTCAGTTCGAGTCCTGCAGGTGCGCTGGATCATAATGACTTCTGTCACGAGTGTAATAAGTTCCGCCGTTGTAAGCAGAGTGTCTGCGTTCTCAATCGTTGGTAAAGAGAGAGCACCTTCATGCTGCCACGATAGCCCCGGAGGTGGAGAAGTGCTTCGAGATGCAGCAGTTGCCGCCTATGAGTGCCGACTAGAGTTAGCGGAGTGTTAGGTACCCCAGATGTTGGAGAAATCGATGCAGCAGCAGAAGCAAAACGGTTGTTGAGTGGAAGTGGCAGTAGCACCGGAATTTGGCGCCGTTGAGAGATGGCAGGAAATGTTTGCTCGTTGTTTTCAGTCACCCTTCTTCGGCCAGGTTGATTCTACGTAGAGGCTTTTTTTTCGCTCATTCGGGCATGTCTTGCTAGTTGCCCGATGTGCTGCACCACAATTGGTACATTTGAGATCCGGTCCTTCAAGCATGTTATATTCCTTTCCAGGTGGACCAGATACAGCTGGTCGCGGTACTTACGTGAAGCGTCATGACGATTCTTCTTGAAGATTTGGATCGGCTTGAGTCCATGTTGCTTCAATTCATCCGACAGTGTGACTGTTTCCATGTCGGGAAGGCCACGCAAGACTACCTTGAGTGACTTGGTTGCCTCAATATCGTGAGAAAAATACACCACGTATTTCTACTGCAACAACGCCTCGACGGAATTGTAGTGGTTCATCGCTGGAACCATCAACTTGATACCTTCAGTGCACATGCGCATGGTGCACTTGAAACCTTTACTGATTTAAAAGTCAATTTCCCCCCGCAAGACTTCCGGGAATCCTTTCACGAAGAAGGGTGGAACTTTCTCCTTCTTTTTCACCTTCGCTTCATCGCCATTTTCCAGAATGGCGTAACGATTGTTCACCAACAGCTTCTTCGATGCCAATTGAGCATTGGCGGTGTCTGATCTGGATCGTTTCCCGGTCGGAATAGCAGTCGCGTCAACACGCGGCGGTTTCCCCATGCTGGGGTCGTGCGATGCTTCATCAAACACCGCGAAAATAAGAGCGTGAACACTATCACAACGAACTAGTAAGAGATGAACTAGCCTATGGCTAAAAATCTCTATAATAAGGTAAAAAAAAAAAAAAAAAAAAACAACGAACTAGCGAACAACTTGAGAGAGCGAGTAAAAACCGAACTGTACTGCTTGACGGTCAAACAGAGAATGTGTAAATTTAACAAACTTGAATGCTTGCCATTAGAATGGAATATCAATCGACTTAGCCCATAGTGAATCCCTAACACGGACTTCAATTACAGATACCAAAACATTAACACTACCGCTATTTCAGCCATCGGCCAAATTTCAAATGTGCATACAATAGCAAATAGGTCGAGCATTATACAATAATTTCTGCCTATAAATTGAGAGGTACTGAAAATTTTCTTTAGTCTATCTCAGATCAACAGCTGGCATAGGCGTAGCCAGAGGGGGTAGGGGGGGGGGGGTCGATCGACTCATCAACACAAAGGCTTTCGGTGAAATGACATTCGGCCAAATTTTACATACAAATTTTTTTTTCGCCCCTCCCTAGCTCGAAACCTGGCTACGCCCTTGACAGCTGGTAGTGTTAATTGACGAGATAGAATAATGCTATTTCTAACAAAGTTGTTCAGATGTTCAAGACCAATCGGATGGTGGACAGTTATGTTAAGAATTCCACCATCACGTGACGCTAGTGTAACATTTTACTTCAAGTTGCTTACTTGACTCGAATAGATATAATAAGGTCGCTGTCTACAGTAAACTTGTTCAGATAAAGGTTGATTTTATCTCCGGACACATTAAAAACGCTGCCATTAAAAACTTTTTTTTTTGATTTTTTTTTTTCAAAATTTCACTGAATCAAGAGTGTGTTGAATCACAGTGGGTATTGGTTGCAAAGATAAGTTTAGTTGCTTACATCATGCAATCAATCCAGGTCTACCCGCTACTGGCAATTTTTAATCCAATTTCTGGGCAGGTATTATACACCTCGGTTGACCGGAGGAGTGTCCCGGAAGAATGTAAAATGAAAAATAAGTCAAAATTCCCACAAAAATTTCCTTGTCTGGCAAGCTATCTACAGTTGTGGACTGAAAAGTGAAACATTCGTTACTTCTGGGACCATGAACCAGCAAATTTACCATTGGGAGTGGATACGGAAGAGACTACTTCCTGTTATGGAGCAGCATGAGGTGGTTTGCCTATTCTGGCCGGACTTGGCAAGCTGCCACTACCAGGCCGGTGACAAGGCCTATACTAACAGCTATGTTTGACAGTAGGCAGCATGTCCGGGGCCAAAATCGTTTGTTTTGCTGTACTGGGCCCGCTGTCACCGTTACAATGTTGCCTACGAGCCTGCCACCGGGCTGGCCTCTGCTCAAATTCCACCAAACAGTGGTACAGCGAAAATGGCGTCACAGTTGTTCCGATGAATCCGGACAATACTTCCGAACTAAGGCCAATTGTGAAGCACATACTGTCAAACAAGTGGAAACAGGGCTCATGCTTCTTCCGGATTGTTTCCAAAATTATGAGAACAATAAAATCCCCGGTGGAATTTGTAGACATTTGTCGATAAGCTATTTACATTATTTGCTTAATGAAGAAGACACCAGAAGAATTGTTTATTCAAATTACATTATATAGGTAGTTTTCAGTCAATTTATGCTATGAATTCTTAGAAATGATAGCTCACGGAATATGAGTTAACTACGCAAATCTATAGCAGCACATGATGGAAGAAGTTTACTGTATCAGATAATAATGTTAGTTCAGGTGTATTGTTTTGATTCGTGATGTACAAACAATGACTTCTGATTATTTTTGTCCATTTTTTATGTAATTTGTAATTTATTGCTAACATAACGAAAATTGAAATTTGAACACCATCTTTATTTTTGTTGTTATAAATATTAAAAAGGAAACAACTTTTGAAAGAAAAAAGAATTTTGAAATTTTCATGTCACGATATTTTGAAAACAAATTTTGCAAATCATATTCGATGCTCTCTATGCAAAAAAGCAAAACTGTTTTGGAAGCCAAACCGATGAACTCATCACCCAAAAACAAAGAAACATGAGTCGATAATTTATGGAAATAATCATGAGTGTGTTTGGTTAAACTCACCTGCTCAACTTCGATTGCTCATGTAAAATATCCAGGCATGCAGTTGTATATAGTCGAAATGCCAAAAACGCCTCACATCATCAGCAGCAGGTGCGCCCGTCGATCTGAATAAGTGTACCAAAGAACAGTGCAGACACAAGAAGAAACTACTCTCGTCACTTCCTGGTTCTCTTTGGTCGGCAGTGGTCACTGAACTCGTTGCTATCTTTTGAATACACCACTATTTTTGATTCACTGCCAAGTTTGACCCGTGTAATTTCGATAGATCAGGAACCACAGCACAAAAATGCGACATTTGCTTATCTTATCTTCATTTGACTGCTAAGAAAGACACATTCTTCAATTAGATATTTCTCAAAAACGATAAACCGTTCACTACTGTTGCAATAATTTTGCGTAATTTTTTTTTTTTTCACATTAATTCCAAGCACAACCCGATAGGAAACACGTACAGCCGAAAATATAGCACGCGATGAAATCGAAAGCTACACAATCTCTGAACAATAGTCCACCCAACTCCAAGCAAGATATGACCAACACAGCAGCCAACTGCCCCAACGACTAGACCAGACACTCAGACAGATACTACAACTTAGCTTCTGGTTTCCTGTGCCTATGTGCTCGTACCGAACGTCAATACGTGATATTTATGTATGCAATAATCGCTAATAGACTGATGCAACGTAGGTAATCCATTTCACTTCTTATACCTAGTTTTGATACTTTTTTTTTTAATTTGATGTAACTGAAGTTTATTTCTACTTGAAGACTTCTTTAACATTGAAAAACAAAATGTAATGTAAAGAATACTCATATAAAAAGATCTGATGAACTAATAGCTAAACAGCTAGTACTACGCATTCGCATAACTAATTTAGAGGGTATTAAATATACTTCTTTAATAAATCAATTTCATTTATGACTAGTACCTAACTGTAACTATTTTCATTCCTTGAAATAATATAGAGGTGTACCGTACTGGACTCCAGGGATGTAGCAGTCTAGTGTTTGGCAATATAACAATACATACATAGGCGCAACATAACATTCCATACCGCATATCGTATTGGTACTGTGTTTACTATAAGTCACTAACACACAACTATCAGTATAGTAGGCGACACGGTGAGATGCTGGCTTCATTATTCAAGAATCTAATGGGGGATTGATTGCACAAAGTTATCCTCTGGTAGGTCTTTATAACGATACAAGCTATTCATAATTTAGCAAGGTATTTCCAACTAACCTAACGAAAACAGGATGATAAGAACAGTTACTATTCTTTAACAATGCTCCAATCGGGAGGGGCAGTAGGTTTGCAGAATCATTCACGCACCAAATCACCACAACAATGGTCAGAACTTAACGAAACGTTGTAACCTAATAATGACAAAAAACTTTAACAATCACTTGTTTATCTGCCCCGGAATGATATCAATTCAAATTTGATGCACTATCAATACAGGGAAATAGAATTCCGTAGAAACGCGCTCCACTAAACTTTTGAGCAAAGAACGCGATAACCTCCGATCCGGGCAAGACGAAGAAACGAACAGAACTGGACGTTTTTTGCGATGAAAGAAATATTGACCACGGTAACACACATAGAGGCTATTATTCCGGCAAATGACAAGGTGACGTCATTCCTATCTATTTCGTAAACAAACATAAATATGAATGTCAATTTTTTTTATTTAGTCTTTCATGCATTATTTTAAGCCTTTTACTGAACAAAATGAACTGATTTTATGCGTTTGCAACGTACATATTTACATCATACAATTCGCGTTATTCCACTTCACACTATTTAGAGGTAGAAATGACGTCATTTGTTGATACCAAGAGTTTATACCTTGTTTATGTATGAGTATAGAGATTGCTGACGTTTATCGTACGCACACTATGTCACGTATACGTATACGCAAAATGTTTCATCGGAAAAAAACAAATCACTGACACTGCCATACTTTAGCAATATCTATACCCAGTCCGAACAAGACGTCAACGAACTGTCATTTGACGGACTCAGCCTGCCACGCTATTGGCGTTGACGGCGACTCTGTAGCTCTTTACTCCTATGAGAAAATCCATTAGCAAACGTCAGACTGTGCGTGAAACATGGCGGACTTTGTACTATTCTCTCACTCCACAGAAAATTCCCATAAGAAACTGTCTATATTTGCTGAAAGAGCAAATTTTTCGACGGTGCCGTCAACGCCAATTTTGAGGCTATGTGCTTTACTTACACTGCAAATAAAATTCACGTAATATTACCTGAAAAGGTACGTAGATAATTTCCATCGCAATTTTCAGGTGAATATTACGTTTTTTTTTAATATTTTTTTTTTTCAAATGTGTCATATGAAAATCAAGTGATTTTCACGTAAATTTTATCGAACCGATGGACGTCAAATCGGCTTCACTTAAAAGTTACGTGATTTTCTAGTACATTTCACTGGATTTTACAGTAATGTTTATGTGAATTTATGGTAGATTTCTTTGGTTAATTTTTTTATTAAATGTATCTTAAATAATAATCAGGCCTATTCTGCGCCGTGAGTGAGGTGAGGTGACTCGCTGTCACTAGTGAAGTCAGTTTATGAGAGGTGATTCTTTAGTTGATGTAGTCGGAGAGCCACCTCACATGAGGTGACTATTGTTACCTCACCTCACTCGTGGCACAGAATAGGCCTCAATGCATTCTAGTAAAATGTTCTTTTTGACCAAAGGCAAGCCAGAAAAGAACAATTCACGTAGATTGCATTATTTCGTTCTCTTGTTTTATTTGAATAAAAGTAAACTTCATTAGTTGGATTTTTGCTTCATTTAACTACACAGCAAAAAAATAATTTTGATATCACGTCAAAGTGGATGCACTACAATCATGTCGAAAATATGGTGTAATATTACTTGCTAAAAAGGACAAAATTATCATTAATACAATGCATGAACTGACATTACGCTGCTTTTACTGCATTTGTTTATTTATGTGGTCATAAAAATTACATGAAATTTTCGACATGATTGTAGTGCATCCACTTTGATGTGATATCAAAATTATTTTTTTGCTGTGTAGCGTAATAAGCTTAGTTTATTTCTTAGTTACTACAATCTGTATCAAACCTATTCTTAATTCTATACATATAAAGACCGTTAATATGGTGCACGGTGTTCAACTCCGGGAACGACTTCTAGGGTGTCACAAAGAGATTCACTTCCGGGAATACTCTCAAGGCTTGGAATTTTGGGTGATATTATTGTTGCTCGATGTGCCTCCGTTGCTCACCAAGGCACTTATAGTCGCTGCTTTCTGCATAAAAAACGGAAATTTGCAATGGGTTATTTATTGGTTTATTGTAAAATCATAAAATTTAAACACTTACATTTCTGTTACTCCAGGAAATGATAAGCTCGAAGAGGACATCATAATTCCAATTTACGTTCGCTTGTTGTAAGCACTCCTGTAGGTCTTTGTATGAGCTTGTGAGGAGCTCAAATAATCCGATTCCACACTCTACAATTCATACTACAATGAATTACAGAATATTCAATTATAAATTAATTACACTTACGCTCAAAAACTTCAAAAAGACCGTCTGGGAATCCCAAATCACCTAACAACAACAACGAACTCACACTTCTTTCTGTCGCCATTTTGAACTTACAAATATTGAACGATAATTTTCACACCAAGAGATCACGTACAATTTACGTGAATTTCAAATAAAATTCACCAGTATGACACTTGACTTCGACCAGTCAATCCAATGGAATTTATTACCATGTCATTGAATTTCATATGCATTAGGTGCTTCTTATTGGATTGCTATTTTTGAGAAAGTTACCTGAATTTTCAGGTGAAATTTACGTTCCTAATTGGTTCAGTGTATAGGTGAGGCAGTGCCTCTTACGAATGTCCGGAGTGATTTGAGATTTGGGCGTAATTGTTTTTGTAAACAAAGACGTCAATTCTCGCGTCACTTTTCAAATAGACCAATGTAACATATCCACCATTTTGAGAAAATCGAAGTTGAAGTTCGACAGATTATTTTTTAAACTGTTTATAAACAATACATTTTGCAATACTATTTGTAATGAACAATAAAATCACAATTTAACTTTGAATTTCATGCTACAACCGAGGCTACAACATAGAAAAAACACATAGGACGTTTTGACAAGTCGCGTTGTACATAGGACATGTTACCAACAATCAATACGAAACTAACGATTTTAAATTGGCTCACCACTTTAGTAGCCTATTGGTCCCAAGCAAACGATTAACGTACCCTATTCTAGTTGAAATTCTATTACTACACCATGTTTGTTTTGATTCGCTATGAAATTTTGACAGATAACATCAGGGGTGTGTGGATTCATGCAGAACATGCAGGGGTGAGTGAAATAGCTTGGGACTGCTTGGGACCGTTGTTCTGGTACTGAGTGAGCCAAAAATAATAATGATTTTCTTCGGGACCCAGTGGTCTTAGAGTTACCTCTATGATGTTACATTGGACGATTTTTCTCACTGACATAATCAATGAGTGTTACATTGGACGTTTTGATCTACATGATACTAGATTCCCTTTCACAGATTTAATATAGTAGAATACCCGAGAATACCTAACTTTAGATTGGCGCCGCCTTTAGAAAACGAGCACCAATCATGTTAGGCAGTCCGAATGACCGAAGTAACAATAATGTACCCTTCATTTCAAACTTTACATTGGACAATTTTGGAGCTAAGATTTTCTTAAATAAATGAAAGTAGATTTGGATGGGTGTTTTTGTATCAGATACAATGATAGAAGATCAATAGTTTGTATCGCATAACTCGATTTGTTTACATTTGTTACATTGGTCTATTTGAAAAGTGACGCGAGAATTCCCAATTTCTCTTGAATAAAAGCTCAATCTCATAAATAAACTATACCAAATGATCATAGGCGTAGCCAGATAGGGGCAGGGGGGGGGGGCGACTGCCCCCCCCTAAACTCGGCAACACAAATGCTTTCGAGGAAATGGCGTTCGGTGAAATGGCATTCGGCCAAATTTTCCATGGTAATTTTTTTTTCGCCCCTCCCTAGCTCGAAACCTGGCTACGCCCTTGATGATAGAGGAATCATTCCTCTACTTCATAGCGTTATTAGTTTTCGAGATTGAGCTTTAATTCGTGAGAAATCAGTGATTGACGTGTTTGTTTACAAATGCAATTACGCCCAAATCTCAAATCACTCCAGATGTATTAGTAAGCGGGGCAAACTTTATGGGTGCACGTGTGGTCCCGTGTACCCGAAGCTTCAGGCACCGGAGACAATAAAGTTGCAAGTTGCGACATCACAATCACTATTTTTGTTCGGAGAGTTGGTTCTTGTTTTTTTTTTTTTTATTAATTACTTTATTTGTACAGGCTCAATCGAATAAACTTTACAGAGCCGAATTATCATTTTCGTTATACATTATTGATGTCTTATATTATATATAAGTTAAAGGAGCTGGACCGGATACTCGCGGTTGTCTCGAGGTTAGTGGAGATTTACAATTTTTTTTTGGATGGGAAAAGGGAGAG